CCGGCTCCGCGGCGGCAGCAGTTGGCTGCGCAGTACGTGGGCGCGAGGGTCCGGGACCTGTTGGGTCGTGCGCTCCATTGGCGTTGTTGTCGGCGTCATGCGCCGCAGTGGCTAAAACGCTCCCGCAGTTCGCGGCTTTTCTGCACATAGGAGAGTTCCTCATTAGCTTCCATTAGGAAGCCTAGTGCGGAGCGATAGCCTTGCTCGTCGCAGAATTGTCTGACTTTGTCAAACATGCGCGACGGCGGTGTTATGCCCTTACGCTGGGCACGCCTTACGTACTTCTCATACATTTCCTGGACCTTTTGTACCAGTTCCTTTGCCCTAGAGGGGCTCACCTGGCGCAGCTGATAGCGCTCATGGTCGGCCTTCGCCGACTGGGTGCGCATGGTATTCCCTGGGCTCGCCATGTAAGTCAGATAGAAAATGTTTCTTAAGTTGGAATGTGTTTGCGGAAGCGATGGAGTGCTTGACTCCGAGGTCGTTTGACCGGTTGGTCTAAGATACCAAAATTGTAACAAAGCTTGCAGTTGGCAAGCAGTTGCGAAAAAGGAAATTATCCAACGATAAAAGGTGGTATTGATAAATACCGTTTGGTATTGGAAGATTATGAATAGTTCTTGGATGTACCGTTGGTACGATACCGTTGGCCCGGTGAGCCAAGGGCCGCCTTAGCGGCGTTACAAAGAAGCTTTCAGGAAGTTGATATAAAATCAAGCTTTGAGGATGACAAGGTGCGGATGATGTTGCTACGTGGCAGTGGGGCATGCCAACCTACCTGATTTCAAGTCACCCCAGCCGAAAGGATAATCACACATGTCGCAAGAATTGTCCAGAGCGAAGCTGCCAGCTCCGGGTTGTGGTACAGAGACATCGTCGACAAAGGCCATCCTTGCAGGATCCTTGTCGACAGCTGGCGTGGAACAGTATACGTTAACAATACAAAAGGTATATTTATTAACAATATTGCATAATCTTTACATACGTATATACTGGGATCCAGTTTATATTGGAGCCACAAAAGCTCCTGAAAGTGGCCTGTGAGAAACCTAGTGATAAAAGTGTCCCTCTTCCTGTAAGTCACATACGTAATGCCATCACGCCCAACTTGATACCACGGTTTAACCGCTACCAGGACATTTTCTGTTTTATCAGCACCAATACCATAATATCCTTAAGAGATGCAGAAGCTGAACAGGGTTACCACAGATACCATAGATAGAAGCTGCAAAGATCGTATAGTGCCAATAGCTTTGTATGCCGTTGGGTGGCCCATTGTTGGTGGGGTGCGTGTTCACCTGAAGCTGTACCCAGATGACCTGAATCTGCTTAGTCACAGTTGCCGGCGCCTAATGTGCCTTCTTAAGGCCCTCACGGAGTGGTGCACAGCATTTGAAATGACCGTTCATATCCGTGAGTGTGAGGTTGACTACTTCACCCAATCGAACTCTGCGTGCGTTAACTGGAGCCTTGTGAAGGTCGGTATGCAGCGAGCAGTGGGAAACACTGTGCAGTCTGAAGGGATGCCGTGGGTTTGCAGGGCTGGGTATTTAGGGCTTCATTACGGGCCGGATGCCTCGTTCGAATCCTGCACCGATGTGTTATTTAGTGCGGGGCAGCGAGCCACGCATGCTCTGATAGCCAAACTTGCGCAGGAAGGAACTGCTTCTGCATAAGATAGTGTTCAATTGTTTTGATATGCAAATTATATCCATTCTGTCGTATGAGGTCCAGGTGTGGGGACCGCATTTTATTCCCCAGGTCGTTGAACGACCACCTGATGCGCGAAGGCATGCATGGGCGGCCCTGCCACTTCGAAAGGTCTCTAGGGAGAATCGCATGGTCGAGCTGCAACGCACGTTTCTGAAGCAGCTCTCTGGGTTAGGGAGGATACCGGAATATCATGTGTTGTTTAGGAGGCTTGGTAAATGGCCCCTCCACTTTCACTGGGCCTCACTTAGTTGTTAACGTTTTGCAACAGGGTTATCCAGTTGCGAAGGGGATTGTGTTTCTCACAATGTTTTGCGTGAGGAGAAACGTCATGCAGCGCGTTCTGATTGTGCTGCCACTAACTGGGGTGAAATGATCCTAAGGGGTCTCAGGTGCTTAGGTGTAGTAGCTGTTACACAGTACGGCTCTACAAATACGCGCTAAGCGCAACCACCAGCATCTCGAGAGGCCTTTTCAGCGGCCAGCTACTACATTAGGGCACTGCCCGGCGCTGCACCCGGACCTGGATGAAGAGGTCAATTTCATTTCGTCGAACCAGGGCGATGTTGATGATCAGTCCTGGAAACATTCACGGAGCGATTTGATGATGGCTGGCATAACCCACGTCTTATATCAACACACACCCCAGGAGCTTGTGTCGGGCAACAGTAAACCAAGGGTTAAGACGTGCCGGCATACCTATTGGATGGGAACGCCAAAACACACGACGTGCTACATCCCTGCGAAGTCACACTTGTCACTGCTGCGGTTTCGCTTAGGGGGCGTGGTTAGAGGTTAGCCGACCCGGCGGTCGATCGCGCCAAGAGCGCTGTGTGGGGTCTATGGCAACAATAATGCAGTAAAAGATGAGTTTCATGTGTTGCAAGAGTGTCCCGCCTACAACGACCTACGGGAAGGGCTCCTCAACCTATAGGTGTATGCCAGGATGATATCAAGCACGTGCCTAATATGAGGTCTGTCGTGGAGATAGATGATCAGCGCGCACTTGCGCAGATTGTACACAACATCTGGATGAGGCGACGCACGCTGATAGCCGAGTCGTAAGCCTGAGGTCGCTTACCCAAGTTACTGTTTTCTCTCTCATATGGGGTTCATAACCCCTTTTTCTTTTTCGTCTTTTGTTTCTTCCTTATTTTCGACTAGAACTCGCGGTCGAGCCTCCTGGCTCGTCTGAGCCTAACCGAGCTTGTAACATAACAAAACATTAACATCATCACCAGACGGATTACGTGTTTAAATCAAGTTGTGGAAATACTACGAAAATGAGCTATAAGGGATTCTGATAGGCCTAACAATGAAGCTTATGTACGGCAAAGGTGTTCGGAAAACGGTTATTGATATTGCCACATTCCTATCAGCACCAGCCAGGGTGTTGGGTAATTTAACGAGATTTCCTTAGCACCTTACAGGTGCCTTATCCAAAAGAACTAATCACGGCTGGACCGTGGCTTGCATGCAAATTCCACGACCGTGTGCAAGCCCCATCGGGCGACGACAGTTGCAACTGTTCGATCATTTTATTTATGGATACCCTTCTCTTCAATGCAACTGTGTACGCTCGAAGTCAAGCATAGGGCAGCCGGGGCCGGCTGCGACGGCTTTGTCGCTGTTATGCTGGGAGCAACAAACTCCCCTTGGAAGCCTGCGTATTCGGCCAATAGAACGGGGCGATGTCCAAGCGGCGAGCATCGTCTTGACACGCGCCTTTGCAACTTCAGCGGAAGCCGTCCCCTTGGCGGAAGTCCTTAAAGGTGCGTCCGCACGTCGCCCTTCCTTGCCACTTTTATCAAAACGTTTCCCCATTCTATCCCCTCACACAACAAGCCGCTGCGGTGCAAAATAAAAGCTCAAACGGCACCAATCTCCTCGCTTCCCTCCGCCTCCCTCCGCTACTGTTGCTCGTCAACATCGCAACGCCGCCTCATCACCCAGACATCGACTCCATGCTTTTAGCTGATCCCGGACCCGCCGCTGACTCCAGCTCAGACCCGTCCACAACCAGCGGAAGATCAGTAGCACCCGATGGGTACTTCCTAGTGGCCCGGCTCTATCCCAGGGATCCGCAGCAGGCGCCTTTGCCGCCTGGCCAGGACTCTCGCCTCGTTGGCACCGCCGCCGTTTCCTTTTCTGCCGAGTCCCAACCCGTGCGCCGCCTGCCGCCCGTCAACTTGCCCCCTTCGGGCGGTGCCTATGTCTCCAACATGGCGGTAGACCCACGGGTCCGACGTCGGGGCGTGGCAAGGGCGCTGCTTACGGCATGTGAGGAGCTGGTATGGACCGCGGGCCGGCGGGAGGTCTGGCTGCATGTGCGCGAGGTGGATGCGGCCGCACGGACGCTGTACGACAGCGCTGGGTACGTAGCGGCGGCGAAGGACTCCTGGCTGGACACGATTAAGCATGGCGGCATGCGACCGCGCATCCTGATGCGGAAAGAGCTGCATAAAAACTCGTGTTGAGATGATGCACGTGCTGCACGTGGGAGGAGGGGTTAGAGCATTTGGTGTGTTTTGTTTTATGGGATGTGCGTCCCAATGAGCCGAAAAAAAAATAATTTGCTGTTTCTGTTAGAAGACATGCCGTCCTGTGGCTAATGAGTCTGCCGATGGTGGCCGAGGAACCCAAAACTTTGCGCATTATGTGACATGTGCTTCTGAGGCAGCCATCGGCATAGTCCACAATCTCAGCGCGCCCCCTGTCAAACAAGCCACATGGATATTGGGAAAATGGGCCTGCTCACACAACAGGCACAGCACCATTGAGCATTTCATGTGGACATTCTGATACGCATGAAACTTCTTATACTCAGCGACACACGAACCACGCACAGTCAAGTGGCTAGCCAACTCGAAGACATGCAGAAAGTGCTCAGAAAGGAAAACCCCGCTCAACAAGTCAGCGCTATTAGATGGCTCAAAGAATGCACCTCACCGTTGAATTCTCCCCACGGAACACCGAGCTACAACATACCATGCAGGCCAGTTCCTTCTTCTCAAAAACACGCCTCCACGGGAAGCGCAAAACGCAAAGCAGTGATTGCTCGAAAACAAGCCAGAAATACAGCTACAAACAGGCAAATGGTGCATCAGTACCCCAACTTCGTAACTGCTTTTATCAACTGCTACATAATTTGGGACCGCCAAGATACCTCACCACATGCACTCTTAATTCTCCCCAACCTGACAAACGAACAAACATGCGACAACACGAAGCGCTTGTACATCGGCTCTCTAATATGAACGACAATAAGTTGCAATTCCATACCCTCATACGGGAGAAACACCATGCCCCGACACGGAGGCGCTAACTCAGCTCAATTGAAAGGAAATCTAAAAAGCACATCACATAGTAGGACTTGTGACGGGCATGGGCATCTATTTTGTACAGCATGGGTGAGGAACTACAATGTACCGCCCGGACCACGCACCGGAGTGCTCGGGACAGTCAAGGACGGAAACCTCACCGACAAAGCCTTCATCAATACAGTTTTTGGCAAAACGTATCGCCGCCACCGCTGCCGACACGACCATTAGAAAACTCGGCGGAGAAGTAGCATACGCGAAAGGACCAGCCTGAATCTCTTCCTCCTCATAAGGGTATACAACAAGGTACAACAAGTACATGCCTTCGCAAAGGCATTACGCGGGAGAAGCACAGCTTGAACCTCTTCCAAGTATAAGCGACACCGCATGAAACCTGCTTCACTGGCAGCAGTCCTGACTTTGGAAGGCCTCACCTACCTGGCCAGAAAGCATCCTGGCGCCTAGAAGCAAACCCTAACGTATTCCTACGAACGACCCCACAGTGCAGTATAGTGAGCATGCATGGGAAAAGCCAGGCTGCACGGAACTGTCAATGCTTCAACCCAAAACCCAACACGCGCACTGTTGTTACGTTCCCTCTCACCTACACTCCAAACTTCTTGGCCCAGGTCAAAAGGATTCGGACCACGTCCTCAGATGCTCTACGTCAAAAGGAGCACCAACATCAGCCGTATGCAAGAAGAAAAATATATTAAATACGGACATGCCAGGCGTGCATCGCCCGTGCCGTATGCACACGAGCACGGGCAAGGAGGCGCGTAGCCCGCGGCAGCGGGAGCCGCGCACAGTGCCGGCCGCCATGCACAGCCGCCGCGGCCACACTACATACGGCGGGCCGTGCAGCAACGCGCGGACTGATACGCGCTGTGCGCGTCGGCTTTCAGTTCAGCCATGTTTCACACAGCCAAAGCAGCATTGACAACGGGCCCTGCCATAACGACGTTGCTCGAATGCTGCCCTTTCTCCTCACGCACAGAGCGCCGGGCCTCGTCTCGTGTTTGCAGGCCGCGCAAAACGTCCACCATATCATACGCCCGCTGCGATGCACCCTCCGCCACGCGCTCCGCTAAGAAACGCGCGGCCTCGACGGCACCCGCCGCGAAGGCAGTACGGTCCAGGCCATAATGCCGCAGCATTAGTGTATGATGACCACCTGGCGCGGTCAGCCGGCAGGTACGTGATAGGCCGCGGCCCTCCAGAGCGCGCAGATTTGTGCTTGTGGTGCGTAGCTCTTGCTCCAGATGCATACCGCCGCCGACTCGCTGCTGGCGCATTGCGCGCATGCGATGAACCTGGGCCTGCGACAGGGATGGGGTAACGAGCGTTAAAACAAGCGCTGCAGGCTATCGAACATCGGGGTCGAAAGGCGTAAACAACTGAAGAATGGTGATGATGGACGAACAGGGGCGGCAGAGAGGAAACAAATTTGTAATATCAACAATGTGCAGAGGCACTCGCATGCCAGCACACGAAGCTGGGTATGGAGATGGCCAGCTGGCATTCCCAGGGCAGCAATAACATGGCGTGCTTGCTAAAGAAAACGGCACACGAGGTGCAAAACCAGTGGGTCCCATCCCAAGATGGGCAGGCATAACATGCATATACACGAGGCGCATTCCAGACGTGACCGAGCACGGGCTTCGGCTGCCAACTGCCGGCGAGCAGCTTTAGTAGGCCCGGATTTTACGTTGTTGAGCATGCGCAACTTCCGCCAGAAAAAAACAGGTATCAAGTGCAATTTATGAAACTTTGTACAAATCTGTACAGAACACGGAGGCGTTTCCAACCACTCCATGACCAGGCAATGCTGTGAATACGACCCTACCTCATCGCACTGGATGCCCATGAGCCGCAGCGACTGGGCAATGTCCGCCGCGGCCGCCGGATTCAGCAGATCAAGGGCGTCCGCGTCGCCACTTCGGCCAACTGCCTCGTACGTGTACTCCTCAAAGTGCGGTGGCAGAGGCGCGCCAAGCGATACGAGGAGTGCGAAGAGAGCGGCTGCCTAAGAGCAAGAGCCATATTGGCAACGGCAATTGCGAGGTTGGAGCGATGTCACTCTGATATGGAGTCAAGTACACACATACGAACAACTAATATAACACAGATTGCGAGCCAGCTCCCCACATCCATGCTCTCGTCGTACCTGCTCGCCAGCAGGCGAAGGAAGGACTGCGTACACGCCTGCCGCCTCCGCTACCTCTCGCATCCCCGCACGGTTACCACCCGCCGTGCCCATGACAAAAGGAAGACCGTTAGCAGTATAAAACCGAACGTGGTCTGCAATGGAGATCACAGCAACACAGCAACCAAGCACAAACCGTGTGATATGGTAGCTTAGGACTCCGGGCAACACGGGGTGGCAAATGATAAAGTGTAAGGCGTTCGCGGAGGATGGACGACAGAGGAAGAAACCTCATAACTTTTCATGCTGCTGAAGAGGATACCAGTGTCCTCACTGCCCCTTGGTCACCAACTGCCATGCGTACGTCAAGTCCTACACGGTTCAAGCTTAGGCCGTTTACGTAAAGATTTGTCAAGCCACTTACCATCAACACAGTGGGCCAGCGTGTAGTCCACAACCTGTTGTGGTAAGGCAGTGAAGCGGAATAATGTGTCACAGGCCAAAAGATACGAGAAACAAGAATTGCGGCAAATATGGCTTCACCATCATATTGGGGTAATCGCGCTTGATGGTATCCAATGCCGCCTGCCGTCGCTCCTCGCCGACGAGCTGCACCGGTACTCCTCTTACACCAATGTTCTTAACCGCGACACCGGCAGACAAGCCCGTGAAAGTATGAGGCACGAGAGGAAAACCGTAAGCCACCAGCGACTCAGCAGCCGCATGGCCCATCTGCATAAACGAAGTGCAACCATCAGTTAGACAAGGCCACGCCAACCCCGCACCGCCAAGACCATCAGGTCACCTACGATGCTTACTTTTCCCGTGCAAGAGTTCACCATAACTGGCGGCAAGCTCGCGAAAACACGGACAGTCGAATGCGCGGTGGAACGACAACGGCTGCATTTCCCAGTGCGCTGCAAAACGATAGACATGTCCCTTGTAAGCTTCACACGTTCAGAGTGGTAGATTTGAAGGGCCTTTCTGAAGACAGAGCAATAGGCGCCAAGAAGTAGGTTTGCTGCTGTAACTTCAAAATAGGGGAGCTTGATGGACTTCCGGATAATATTGTGATTATGCTGTACTCCTCTTGCGTAAAAACACCTCTAATCTGGCCTGCAAGTCGCTTGCAGAAAAATCTTGCACGGCAACTCTCGGTGGACGAGCACTTGGACCGTGATTGGACTTCGCGGACTTCCTAACCTCCATCTTGTCAAACTATCTCCATATTACACCGATTAAGGCTATCTGGGGTATACATTGCGTTATGTGTGTTTGACTAAAAGCTAGGGAGTACTCCTGCAATGGACCGTTTCGACCGCTTTAAGAAGGGTGGCTTCAACCGCCAGGCTGCGGTCAAAGCGCTCAAGGAGAGCGTTCAGACAGGTCACAAGACTGGGCTTCCTCCGCAGCTGCTATCTCTATTTAACCCCAGAGCTCAGCTGCCACTAGTCACAGATGTGAAGAAGCCCAAGATAAAGCTTCCATATACAGGCCTTGCAGCGTACGTAAAAGAGTTTGCAGGCGAGGGCGACCCCGACTATCAGCCGCCGCGCAACGAGGATCGGCCCCCATCTCCTCGCTTATTCCGCAACCGGGAGCTTGCTGCACAAGCACGCGTGGACACGGAAACAAAGATTGAAAAGTGAGGCTTCATGTTGGCTGGCAACTTCTCAGCTCACGCACGAGCAACTTGAGACCCATGAACACCTTTGCCTTCGTCCCGCAGGAAAATTCGGTTGACAAAATGGAAGCTTGAAGAGGTAGATGTTCTGTCTTACTGCATGGAATACGTGTGTGGGTTGAGGTCTTGTCTCCCCAACCAATACCAGACTGCGGTTACGCTACTCAGGCGGAGCGTGAGGCACGCGAGAAGTCGAAGACGTTTGACCCCAACAAAGACCCGAAGATTGAGGTGAGACAGGGCGTGGTTGAAGGGGCAATTCCTATGCTTGACATTGCTGAGCTTGTCTCCCCGGGACGTCCGCTTCCAGGGCGACCCATATAAGACTATCATCGTGGCGCGCTTAAGCTATGACGTCACAGACAAGAAGCTTCGGCGGGAGTTTGAGGAATTCGGGCCAATAAAACGGGTCCGCATCGTCACGGACAAGCAAGGTTAGCAACGCAATGCCTGCATGACGTGCGGCGCGCCAGCGTCTCGTCTTCGACATCATGAACTGCATTGGTTTTGTGGACTGAGTGCATCTTTGGTTGCAAGGCTCTGGCCTAGAGGGGTTACGGCAAGCTACAGGCAATTACACTTGCATCCCCGTACATGAACTTGATCGTAAATTTCGTTACGTCGGCAGGTAAGCCACGCGGCTATGCGTTTATCGAGTTCGAGCATAAGGCAGATATGAAGGAGGCTTACAAGGCCGCGGATGGCAAAAAGATTGAGGGGCGGCGAGTGTTGGTGGACGTGGAACGCGGACGCACAGTGGAGAACTGGTAAGCAGCCACATTGGTTGGCTTGTGGTGGTTGGCATGTGGTGGTTGGCATGTGGTGTGCGTTGGGGACCTATTGAGCGACAATGTTTTGGATGTTGTGGTGGACAATCGACAGGGCGGAGTAGGGCAGTGCCAATCGTTTTCTGGTGCAGAAGGCAGATCTGACTCGATTTGCTGCTCGCGGACCACTGGATTGCAGTCTCCGGACTGACCTGGTACCTAACAGCGATACGTTGCACTCTTGAGCGTTTCGGTTCTTTTGCTTCCAACCCCATGCAGGAAGCCACGTCGCTTGGGAGGCGGCCTGGGAGCACCCGGACGAGAGCCAAAGCCGCCCAAAAAGCAGCGGCCAGGCTCGTTGCCCGTTGCCCCGCCGGTAATGAATGCAACACCAATTGATGACAGGTACAGTTTAGGGTGGTCGACACGGGAAGTGAGGAAGGGGTCAGGCGATGATCTGAAGCGCTGCGGGTTTGCATCGCAGCACTTCACACCAGGGGTACGTTCCTGGTCTTTGCCGCTCGAGAGGCCTCCAAGGAAGCCCGATTGCTTAACACTTAAGTTCCTGCACTACGGCGTTGTGCGATGGTGGCGTTGGGTCCAGTTAAGGATGATACGTTTTTTTCGAGTAGCGCCCGATTTCTGTGGGACAAGGAACATCTCTTAAGATATGTTCAGGGGATGACAGTGGAAGCGGCTCGGTATTTCAAGCTTCTTGACTTTTTTAAGCACGTCTTAGGGCTTCATCCTTATCCCCTTGCTGACTGGCCTTTAACGCGACGCGATGCATTTCCCCTTGGAGAGATTTCGTAAACTTGGGACACGTCGGGCGTGGGGGAGGGGAAAAGGGGATACGGAACTCTGTTACTAATCACCGTCATGGTGGGTACTTCAGCCATGCTTACGCATGCCATTCTCCGACGCTTGGTAGAGCCGCTATGGGCGCTTCGGAGCCCCTCGACAAGAACGGTATGCTGTGATGTGAGCTGCACAGCTGGGGTCATGAGGCAGCGCCACCGCCTCGCAGTTGGAGGGTGCCCTAGCCTGAGCCCTTTGCTTAGCGCTCAGGCCTTTTCGCTCCTGCGCGTGAATTAGTGTGGCCGCCGGGGAAGTGCGGTGTTGCATTGCGGTAGTGCCGTCAGTATGTGGATTGTGTGTAGATGGTGCCTGCAAGCTAGGTAAAGGTATTGCTGCCCCACATGGGAACGGGAGCAGGTCGCGGGGACGGGAGTACGAGACGCGTGAGCCACGGCGGTCCGAGCCGCGGCGAGAATACGACCGGGAACGGGACATGCGTCCCACCCCTGGAAGCAGCTTCCGCGAACCTCCGCGCGATTACCAGGAGCGCAGTGACCCACGGGACGTTCGAGGAGATCGCGATCGCAAACGGGACCGGGAGCCTTCGCCTCGGTAAGTGGACTGGATTCGACTGGGTTGGGGCTAGTGTGCGGGAGTTTTATGCCAACTTGGGATCGCCCCACGAAGCATTTACGTGTCTATTGTCTAGCAGCAGCGCTAGTGCAATGCACTTTTACGATCCTAAATACGATGAGACACACTTAGCACGCTCGATTCGCTCTTAGGGTGGATGGTTTGGTCGATGGCGACATGTTTGCGGTGATCTTGCAGGCGGGACGACCGGGCCGACTACTTTCGGGCCGGCGGCGGAGACCCACGAGACGATAAGCGTGTTCGGCGTGACCTGGAGGACGGAGAGCTTAGAGACGACCGCGAGCGCCGCGAGCGGGAGCGCGACCGCGACCGGCGGCGAGAGCGGGATATGGTCTGAGCTGTCGGCAGCGCGGGGGCACACATGTGCAAGCGCGAGGTGTCGCACAAATCATTCATCTTTTAATACGGCGAGGGGGCGTCGCACGGGATTCTTCGTGGGGCACAGGGATTGGGACCAGCGTCTTGCCGCTGCAAGAGTTCCGGTATCTTATCGCACTAGATAGGTCAGCTTGGGATACAGCTTTGAAAGCGGAATGCTGCTCAGGCGGTATGCTCTGGCTCCAGGCGGGTGAGGTCACACACAGAGCGCTTTGCGGCTTGGGGAAGGCGGGGATGGACGGCAGGGGTCAACTGTTGCAGAGCATTCGGGTGGCCAGCGGTAAGGCACTCGTTCTCGATGGGATGTGTAGGTTAGGAGGCCTCTGGTTGTGGGAGGCCTCTGGGCATTGTAAGTGCGCAGGGCTGGGCGCCGGGAAGTGCGGCTGCGTGGAAAGCTTCCCCAGGTAAAGCTCCCGGGGTCGTTGCCAGCCTGAAGTTCATCTTCTTACAGCAAGCGCCCTCCACCGAGTCATCTGGACCACGTAAGGAATTGCCACATTACCACCACGTTAATGACCGGAACTTAATCGAACATGAGAGGTGCTGCTTTTGCGTGGCGGGTGGCGGCTGTCCTGCTCCTTGCACAGCCATGCAATCCGGCTCATCAGTCAGGCGGTTGGGGAGAGGCACAGGGTATGTGTTCCGGCTTCTCTCGCAGGTGAGGGACTTTGGGAAAGTCGTTCCGGCAGCTGATTTCCCCACTTTACCCGGCCTGTCCAAATCCTATTTGGAGAATTTGGACAGCAGCGGTGCTTCAATACGTCGACCCGCCTAGATTGATGAATAACAGCTGGGTAGCTTTTGTGGGCGGATTGATTTAATTTGCTTACGGAATGGAGTGCACAGGCCGTGGGGCATATTGGGTAGGTAAGGTTGGCTTGTCCATGGATAACGCGTGATAGTTTTCCTGTTGAGGTGCGTCGAGGAAAAGTGGAGTTTGGAGGAAGGCGGTAAGGGTAAAGGAACGCAGTCCCTCGGTTCCTTCGCGCCAGCAATTTTGTTTTGGCGGTAAGATTCACCACGGTGGGTATCCTGGTCCTGCCGCCTACCGCTGCTGCTCACACTCGTTGCTCCCCTCATGCGCAGCCCACGGCCATCTGGGTCCGCGGTGGTGTGGGTAAGGCACAGGTTGCGGCGGGCACGGTAAGGCGCGACCCACGTCCGGTCTTTCTCTTATTTTGGCTATCTGTACCGGCACAGGTTGCTCTCGCAGAACGGGCAAGCATAATGGATGGGGCCTCTTGGCGGGTAAGCATTGGTAAGTATCAGATGAATGAATGGCAATTTTGATGCGATGAATGAGGAAGCGTGTGGCGGGGGTTAATGGGAAGTTCGGGAGAAACGGGGCGTTTTTTCGTCGGTGTCTTGAAGGTACCGGCGCTACACAAATGCTAGGGCTTTAACGTTGCAGACCAAGGGCAAGAGATCCACTCAACGTTACATGTAATATAAAAGCTGTTGGCAGCATCCAAAGCCACAACGTTCAGCAGCGGTACGTGGCGATATGCTGCAACCGTTTAGTATACACCTCATACCTTTTCCGCCCGCCAAATTTGGCCGTAATACCGAAGGTACCTCCTGATCATCACTTACGACGTGCTCTATAAGGACGCTGGCAAAAAACGATCCCGAAACGCCCAATCTCAATGGATTAGTAGGGTATGGTACGCCGTTTCACATGGGAGGTTTAGCATCTAAACAGTGCATATGGGAGTTTGTAAACACATGTCGATTTTGACGACATTGGACAGCGTTGGCGACCGAGACAGGCTTATCGCATCATGCATGCTCCTATGCAGAGGTGCCCCGGAGAACAGTCGGAATACAGCACCCCTTTTGAATGGACGCACGAAGTGAAACAAAACCCGGCGCCACACACATGCACATCTTATCAAGTACGCCATGTTCTACTGGTGATGATTGCATCGCTAAACTCCTGGAAGTAGCAAGAACTCTCAGTCTGCATCAAAAGGTCTGCCCTGTAGCTCTGCGACCATGCCGAGCCTTGACCAAGGCTCGGCGCTGCTAACAGCGCTTGGCGTGTTTGCAAATTGCTTGTGAAACGTCCAAGCGTTGGTTGTCCTATAAATAAACAACGTCCAAAACAAGACACGCTCCAGTGATGGTATAGCGTTAACTTCTGCAGAGGCCCCTCTTTGCAGGAGGCCTACGATGTGAAGGAACTTCGCAGTCCATGCTAGCAGGGTTCAGAACGCAGACCTTCCGTCAAACGAGAGCATGGGTAGACACTCCCAATGGATGCATGGATTGGCCGGTAAAACATCATGTCCAACAGTCCTGGCAATTCACGAAGGCAATCCACGAACCAGCCTCCGTGGCGGCACTCACACTCTCCCAAACTAGCGTCCAACGGTCGCGCAGTACCTTGCAGTACAAGATCCGATAATCATATCCATGTACCTTGCAGTACAAGATCATTATATTCTGCACCCCTAGACCACTGTGGGGTCCGTGCTGTTGAAGAAGCAGAGATGGTGGCTAACGCAACGTGACCCCCCGGGGTACCAACACAGGGGCGCAGGCTACGACCCGACTAAGCCGCAGTGCACTCGGCGTCAAAAGCGCTATAATACATATGCGTCCCGGAGATCCGAAGAGATTTCGTAGCACGCCGGGCGATATAGCAGCCCCCAGAAACGATATAATAGCCCATAACTACGGATTCGTATGGCAGGTAAACATTCGCAGCGCACAGGTACGCAATATTTAATACACACATGGGCTAGCGGCGTGCGGGGGAAGGCACACAGGAGCAGGAGCAGGACCAACGTATTTATAACAGCACGTAAATGGTATGCACCAGCGGCATGCACGAATAGCGCCCGAGGGGGCATATGCGCAGCTGCGAAATCACAAGCTCATTATTTTGTACAATATAGTAGCACATACGCGAGTAACAACCCAGCAGCAGTCTTCCGCAAACACGGCGGGCGCCTGTCGTTGCTCCTCACCCTACGACTCTCTTAAGACGGGTATATTTCTGACGACAGCTAGAGCAACGCGATGATCACAAAGGTGATGGCAGTGGCCAAAACTCTCAACATGTCGGATGGCGCAATATGGCCAAAATAATCTGCCAAAGCGCTGCTGAAGAAACGCGAGAATAACTACAACGGGTCCATCCGCCAAAGCGGCGACCCAGGCTCCTTTGTCATATTAAGTATGTGTTGCTATTAAACAACGCGAGGGTGGGTGGGGCCCCGAGAGGAGAGCAAACATGCGGGACCCCGTGGCCCTCGCGCCTTCTTCTCCGCCGGGGGCGCCTTCCTCCACGCGCCCTATCATTTGCTACTACTTGGATATCTCTCTAGGAATATATTTAGTACGACAGTACGGCGTGCCTCGCCAGCAGGGCTCAACCGGCAAAAGGCCGTGGGCTGGCTGGCGAGACGGACTGGCTATTAACCGACCTGCCATGACTTGGCCCGCCGAGTCGCTGCCGTCGCACCGCCGCCGCCGCCGCCCCCGCCGCCTGCGGACGCCTGGACAGCAGCAGTGGGTTGCATGGGCAGGTCCGCCTGCTGCCCACGACAGACAACATCCAATGGGGAAGCGGGAGGGGGTTACAGTCCTGAGGACATGGGACAATACCCTGTTTCCTGGTTCTAGAGCGCAAGGAGAATCCAAGCGACGACAGTGACACACACACACCCCTGTTTTCCGCTTCCATGTCTTACCCACCCACGCACGGCGTTCCACCCTAGCAGCCTCCTCAGGCCCCACCACCACCACAGCGCACCCGACTCTGCACCCGCTCGCCCAACTGGCAACCTCATTCATGGCCCCGCACTCAACCCTCCCTCATCACATCCCCCCTCTTGCTGTTCCTTCGGGAAACCGTAAAGGTTTACTTCCGATTTACAAACCCGGGGCCCAACCCCCCTCCCCCTCCCCACCCTACCCCCTCCACCACCACCACCATGGCGCCACCGCCACCCACCCGCTCCCGCTCCCGCTCCCGCTCCGACCGCTTCCGGATCGACAGCAAGGGGGGACCCCGGGGTGTCGTCGACGGCAGCAGCTCCCCGACTGACAACTGCCGCCGCCCGGACTGCGGCCGAACCACACCCGCACCCGCACCGCCGCCAGCAGCCGGATCTAGGGCGGCGAAGGGCCCCGGTGCCAGACTGGTGGGGGTGAGGGCCGCACCCGGCGTCCCCACCGACTGGCGCGCGGAGGGCGGCCTGGAGAGCGTCAGCAGCGTCCCGCCGGCAGCAGCCTGCAAACGCTGCACATGCGTGCATGTATGTATGTATGTATGTATGTATGTATGTATGTATGTATGTATGTATGTATGTATGTATGTATGTATGTATGTATGTATGTATGTATGTATGTATGTATGTATGTATGTATGTATGTGCACATGCAGGGGATGGGGGAGAAAATTTGTCAAATACCGGAAATAAGCCATCTCAAACATGTGAACAGAGTTGACGTGCATCCATGCATACAGCTCATATCCATACACCGACACCATTGAAGCGAACGTGCGGAGCAATTCTGTTGTCATACATGCACCGGCGGTATCTATACTCATGTAGCAGTTTTGTCGAGTTCCCCCCAAGTGCAACCGCCCCCTGGGGCCGCCCCACCCCCCCTCATCAGGCGGTCCACCGGGCGGGGGCAGAGGGCCGCACCTGAGGCCGGTCCACCGCAGGAGCCGTGTGGGAGCCGCCGCTATCCACCGCCGCCGCGACGGATGCCGCCTTGGCCGGCGGTGGCGCTTGCTGCTGCTGCTGCTGCTGCTGCTGCTGTGCAGTCGGAGTCGTCGCCGCCTTGATGGCTGCGGAGAGCTTCCTGTGGAGCTCCTGAATCTCGGCACTCATGGCCTTTCGGGGGGGAGAGGAGCAACGGCAGTAGCAGTAGCGGAATTTAAGGGGGGGGGCCAGAAGGCGGCGCTGACCTCCGCTGACACTCCGCTGTGTTACCGGCGGC